CAAACTCGTAGAAGTCCTGCAAATGTTCCGCTTGTATCCCCGGGAAATTATTTGTTAAAACCTCCCGCCTGGGCTTTACAACGAGGAGTGCTAGCAGGCTAACGCTGGATTGGCAACGAAGCTTCCCTAAAGTAAACTCTGACAGCAGATAAGGGGAGGTCGCACCAGTCAGGGGGACCTGACGTCGGCTCCCCGGTCTGAGCTCGGCCCTGGCCGAGTTCCCGTTAGCATGCTAACTGTTAGCCGGGATGGATGACAGCTTTATGACCATGACCATGATGTAACCTGGTTTAGCCTCTAAACTCTGAAATCAGGTTCAGTTAAACTCTGATCCATGTTTATCACAAAACATTTACAAATTTAATCATGTATCATAAAATTTCATTAAGCCAATTAATAATTTGATGAATGAATTAAAATTATAATCTCAATAATTATCTCATACTGCGCCTCAGTGATTGGATGCCCCTCACTCAACAGGGTGCGTGACTGTCTCTGACATCATACTGATCCAAAAATAGAAAAAAATGATAAACTGAACAATTTGACCTTTTGGCTCACAGGGATTAGTGAACGTATGCTGACATGAAGGTTAACATGAGTGTATGAGAGGAAACATGGAGAACATTACTCACACACACACTTTAAGGTGTGTGTGTGTGTGTGTGTGTGTGTGTGTGTGTGTGTCAGGTTACCTTAGCAGGCGTAGCAGGTTAAACAGCCTCATAATAAACAGTTGAAGGTCACCAAATGTTGACAGTATGGCTGCTTCTTACAAACTCCGTGAGGCGGTGTCAACAGTTGACTTTATTTCAAACCTGCACACCTTTTTTCATAGATGGATATCTATCTATATATCTCTCAGAAACTATAGAAGTTAAAAATAATGACATGACTAAATGTTAGAGCTGTAGGTTTGCAGATTAGGCCTTCATTTATATTTTAATCCATATTTGGTGTGAATCAGAGATAATTTAGAGGTATCTCTGCACCATCTCTAATTTTACAGTTTGTAATTTGTCATTTGTCAGGATCCCAGCACGCTCTTCTGTGAAGCTTCATTTGAGATAAATAAATGGACGTGTTCTGATTTAAAAGACAAGAATCGCTGCCCCAGGCAGGTTTTCATCATCGTGAGTTAATCTGTGCTCTCACCTGCTGCCGTCGGTGTTTTCTAAGGGAGGCTGAACTCTCACCTCCTGATAAACTCACAGTACCAGCTCTTCCAGTCCCTGATAACTTATCACTGCAGAGTTACCACATCGCTGCAGCTTCACTGCTAACAGAAGTGTAAATTCATTAGAGCAAACACCTCTGTTCTCGAACTGCGCTTAAACAACCTGCCATGTTTTAGTTTTTACTGTCTCCCTTAACTGTAAAACTCCTCCCTGATGTTCTTTTCAAATAAAAAGAACTTTTAAAGTGAACTTTGATTTATTTTGGTCACATTGTTTGGATTTCAGTGGAAGTCGTTGGAACAGTCAGTCCAAAGGTCTCATTTTATAAGTTACGATTTAAATCTGTTCAAACATCTGAAATAAAGTGTCAGATATATGATAACAAGTCTGCGCTCCCAGGTTTTGTTGTGTCTTTGACTGTGCCAAAAAGTTTTTGGTTTCATGTTTTCTCAGTAATGCTTCAGCTTTAATAAACGTACCTGTGCTGTTCCCTCTCTGCAGGATGGGCGCGACAGTCTTCGTGCAGCCGTTGGACCTGGTGAAGAACAGGATGCAGCTGAGCGGTCAGGGGACGAAGGCTCGAGAGTATAAAACCAGCTTCCACGCCTTGTTCTCCATCCTGAGAAACGAGGGCGTGGGAGGCATCTACACCGGGTACCAGCGCTTCGCCCCATCCTGATTTTTATCATTTTAACTCGCGTTTCATCTCCCTGC